GCTGAAAGTGAAAATGGGGAGATGTTTAACAGAGCTGATGAAGGGTTTTAAGTAGGAAAGAAATGTAATCAGATTTTTATTTATACAAATATTTGTTGAGTTTGTGCTAAATACAAGGAAAAGAGGCTCCTAAATAGATGAGTTTAAAAAAAAACCCCACAACTTCCTGTCTTTACAAAAGCTTACAGAATAGTGAGGGAGGTACATATCTGTAAGAGAATGATAGCCCTTAAATAAAGTTCTCATTCTAAGTTTTCTCTTAAATAGTTAGATATGTTCAATCAATTTAACTATTACATATGTGGCATGGTTTTCCCAGTTCCCTCACCCTTCTCTTGGTGCTTTTTAGATAGTCATCCTCCTGAAAGCATTGTGCCCAGAACTGGATACAGTGCCCCAAGCATAACCTATCAAAAGTTAATGCCAAGAATCAGATATTTTATACCATGTTACATGAACTGCTATGAAGTTAGGTCTTCTTTAGTTTCCACTCCTTAAACTACATAAATTAAAGAAACAGTTGCCTGTGGTGAAAAGTTCAACTATAGACAGGTATGAAGTAGACAGTTTAAGTCTCTTGACGCATCCCTCATAAGCTATCAATAAGTTTCTTTCCAGAAACTTTCTGGAAACATAAACATCCTATCTATACATCAACACAAACTTATACTCATTTTACTGTATGTATTTTTGATTTCTACTTTTATCATGAACATTGTTCCATACTGGTGCATAAAAGATATTACTTTTGACAACTGCATATTACTTATTTGAACTGATGTACCTTGGTTTATTTAGAACATCCTACAAGACTGAGAATTTTAGCCATTCCCAAGTAACAAACAGTTCCAAGATGCACTTATATCTGCAAAATATTTTTAGGTATCAAATGTAACCTGCTGTTCAGCCTTTTTCAATCTTTTTTGGTTAACATTCTGTATATAAACAATTCAGGCTGTCATTGTCTTAAAAAAATAAGATGTTTATTTTTATGTTAAAAATGTATATATTTATAAATGTGCCAAAATTAAACAAGCCCCGAGACCTGACAAGACTTACAAGGAAAATCACAGACCAATCTTTCTCATGAGCATAGATGTAAAAATCAAACAAAATATTTGCAAACCAAATCCAGCATCATATAAAAAGGATAACATACCATTACTAAGTAGGGTTTATACCAGAAATACAAGATCAGTAAAGAATCTACATTAAGAAAGTAAAAGAGAAAAATCAAGATTCTCTCAATAGATCCAGGAAAAAGTATTTGGTGAAATTCAACATCATTCATGACACTCTTGGCAAAATACGAATAAAAGGGTTCTTCAATCTGATAAAAACATGACATGGAAAAAACGTATAGATAACATATTTTAATAGTGGAAAAACTAGATGCTGTCTCCTGGTGTTGAGAATAAGATAAGAATAAAGGCTCATCATACCACTTCTATTCAATATTAGGTTGAAGGTCCTAGCCAATACAACAAGGCAAGAAGAAACAAAATGTAAAGACTGGAAAGAAGAAGTAAACTGTAAACTGTTCTTATTCATATGTGACATGATTGTGTACACAAGGTATTCCTAAGGCACTTGCAATAAAATATAAGTAAGAACAACTACTGAACTAAGGGAATTTAATAAGATTACAGAATACAAAATCAATAAACAAAAATAAAACATATTTCTGTATACCAGCAATACACTTAAAAATGAAATTAAAGTACCATTTACAATAACATTACCACAAAATATTTAAGAATGCATTTAACAAAAGATATACAAGACTTATTCTCTAAAACTACAAAACATTGCTGAGATAAATTTTAAAAGACCCAAATAAATGAAGAAACATACCACATCCATGGATCGAAAGATTCAGTATTGTCAATTCTTTCCAAATTGACCTAAAAATCCCAACAGCAATTCCAGAAATTTACTTAAAGAAAAATTGACAAGCTTAATATAAACTTTATAAGGAAAGGACCTGATAGCCAAAACAATCTTGAAAAAGACTACAGAGCTTAACAATACTTAATTTCAAGACACCATAAAGCCACAATAATCAAGACAGTGGGGTACTGGCATAAAAGACATGTAGATAAATGACATAAATAGATCATCCAGATCCACAGATACCTGGTAAATTGATTTTGACAAAGGCACAAAGGTATTTCAATGAGTAGGCAAAGATTGCGTGGAACACACAAAAAGCACCAGCCATAAAAAAATTGATAAACTAGGCTTCATGAAAATGAAAAACTTGATATTTGAAAGATACCATTAAGAAAATGAAAAGGCAAGCTAAAGACTAAGAATAGTCATAATACATATATCTGAAAGAGTTTGTATCCAGAATATATAAACAGTTCTTACAATTCAATAATAAAACAAAACCTAGTTTTTTAATGAACAAAAATATTTGTACAGATCACAAAATATGTGAATGGCCAATAAGCATATTAAAAGAAGTTCAACATCTTTGATCAGAAAAATGCAAATCAAAACCACAATGAGATATCAAAATACACTCAATAGAATGGCTAAAATTAAAAACACTGACAATACCAAGCTTTGGCAAGAATACTGTACAACTGGAATCCATATAAATTACTGGTAGTAGTGTAGGCATCTGGCATCTGCACAAGTAGAAACAGGTTCACAAAAAGACTGGTAATTTCATGCTTATAGCAGTTTTATTCATAAAATTCCTCAAATGGAAACAATTCAAACATTCATCAACAGGTGAATAATCAAACTGTAAGATAGGCATATGACAGAATACTACTAGGCAATAAAAAGGCACAAGCTACAGATGCATGAAACAACATGAGTAAATCTCCAAAACAAAGAAATAATGCATGCTGAGATTGCCTTTCTGAATAAATTTCCCTAATTCTTCGAGATCCCCAGGTTCTCAAAGGCATAGCTGGCAAACAGGCCCTGAAACAGCTTCCTCTGGACTACCCTCCTAGTCTTGGTAGATTTCCTTAATCTTTGGCATTTCTTTTCTTCCATGGTCTTCATTCACTGCTGTTCTTCTTGCCTATCTTCAATTATTTTATATTATTATGAGGACAACATAGGTTCTTCCATCCTGAAACTTCAGTTCTTTGCCTGGCTGGGCCAACACATTCCCTGAGCAGGATTCTGTGCACACTGGTAGTTCCAACGTGCAACAATCTTCAAAACATTTGAGGAGTGTATTAGTCCATTCTCATGCTGCTCTAAAGGACTGCCCAAGACTGGGTAATTTATAAAGGAAGGAGGTTTAATTGACTCAGAGTTCCACATGGCTGGGAATACCTCAGGAAACTTACAATCATGGCCGAAGGGGAAACAAACACGTCCTTCTTCATATGATGGCAGGAAGAAGTGCCAAAAGAGGGAAAAGCCCCTTATGAAACCATCAAGTCTTGTGAGAACTATCACAAGAACAGCAGCATGGGGGTAACCACTCCTATGATTTAATTAACTCCCACTGGGTCCCTCTCATAACACAGGGGGATTATAGGAACTACAATTCAAGATGATATTTGAGTGGGGGCTCAGCCAAACCGTATCAAGGAGGGACTCTGCAAATGTGGCACAAACTCCTCAGTCTGTGACTTCCTAACCTAGCAGATGCTCCTCGAAACCTTATCATGTTGTTTCACTGCATAAGTGCTGGCTAAATGCTGGTTGAGAAAATTCAAAACATGTTTGGGTTACTGTCACAAGGATGAACAATGATTTATTTGGAAAACAGGTGTTGGCGTGGCCACAACCATGCCTCTGAGGGAACAGCCAGAGGAGAGGCTCCAGGGGCATCCTGAAGATGCCAGAGCAGGCTCACATGGCACCTGCAGGGTGGCTGGCTGGTGGCAGTTTGGAGGTCGCCTGTCACTTCCTCTTCAGGGAAGTTCACCATCCTCTGCTCATGAGGGTGCCGCTGTCCCGGAGCTTTCTTCCTTGATGCAAGCCATGGTAGCTACTTCCAGCCATGCACAGTGACTTGTGCCAGCAAAGGGGGCAGTGAACAGGATCTAGGTCACAAGGATTGTGACCCTTGGGGACCACAGGGCCAGGCTGTCATTCTCAAAACCATGAAATTCAATGACAAACACAACAGCAAATTATAATGCCAACAAAGACTTCTACGTACATGCAAATCTATTAATCAATAAGTGGCTAAGTCACTAAACTACAGCTTTCTCATGATGCTCACCATCCATCCTTTGGGGAAACCAAAATGCTCACAACTAACCGTGGTGTTCACTCAATTTACTAGCTTAAAAAAAAAAGTAGCACAGCATCACAAGTGAGAAGTGTTCTAGGAAGTGTTCTTCAACAATATCCTCAAGCATAGGTATGAGGAAAATTATATTGGCTTTGTATAAGGAATGAATGATTGGGAACAAAGAAAAGAGTATACTGCATTCCTATGATTAGTCTGAAAATGATGTTGCTAGGGAAGGCTATTTAATCAAGAAAAGTACCTCTGCAAGTTGGAGAAAACTATACTTTCTGAACACAAGAAAAATGTCCATATTTTTGCCCTGACATTCTTAGACATTCACTAAGAATGAGGGAAAGTAAGGTACCATTTACATACATATCATACTGTAGTGAAAACAATCACAGGTTACAGCACTAGAGAAGCCTGGGTTCAGATTCATTAAGTTCTCTATGGATCACTGATGGACAATCAGAATTGAAATTTAATACTACATCAGGGAATCCAAGGGTCATAGTCATACTTGACCCAAATGGCTCACAGTAATGACTCAGATTAATACTGGAGGGTAACTGTTTTGTTTACAATTAGCAGCTTATTATCTTGAAGTCAGTCTCACAAACACATTGACTTTACAAACTCTTTAAATAAAAGGTTCTGTATCCTGATCCTGAAGTATGCTGTAATAGTCTACAGTGAAAAGAAAATAATTCTGAGAAAAAAGATCTCCCCATGATAAACTGAAGAAAACAAAAAGCATTTATATAAAAGTAACAATAAAAAAGAGTTTAAAAAGCAAGCTTCCACTCTTTTTTATTAAAAAGCAAAAATCAACTCATGTAAAATACTTTAACTCATAAAAAGCAGAATCAAACATTACTTTAAAAAATATCAGAACCATAATATGTGCATTAAGTCTTTTAAATAGTTTAACTTTTAGACTACTTTACTATTAAACACTTAGTTTTTCTCAGAAAGCTGTTGCAAACCCAAGTACTGTTCTGACTATAGAAATCAATGATTCTTTTCTTGAGCAGAATAAAGATATAACTTCCTTAAATGACATTCATCTTAATATTACCATCTTAAATTCTGCTTCATTACCAAAAACAGTGTTTTCAAGAACTGGATTTTTCTAAATTCCATTTTTATTTTTATAATAACTTTACTATTTAATTATATTCATTGTAGAAAAATGTGAAGACAGAAAGATTCAAAGAAAATAAAAACTATCCCAGTATCCCTCCCCAAAATACAATAACAAGGTTATATATATATTTCTGAGGGTTTTTTTTTTGTGTGTGTGTGTATATATATATATATATATACACACACACACACACACACACACACACACACACACAGCATTTTAAAGCAAAACTAGTACTATAAAATGCTACCATATCCATATTTTCATTTCATATATAGAGCAACCATATCTTTTAAGGATATTAAAATATTCAAAAAGGATTTTCAGTTGGCTGATTCACAATCTAATTATAACTAAGACATAATTTATCTCCAGTTGCTAGGTATTCAGATTGTTTTAATTATTTGCTATTATCATTATCATTATTAAACACCCTTCTTTATACATAACTGTTTGTATGTATCTCTGATACGGTTTTAAAGAGAAATTCCTAGATGTAGAGTTCCCAGCACAAAGTATGCCAGTATTTTTAAGCCTTTTGATGCATTTTACCAAATTGCCTTCTAGAAATAATGTACCAATTTACAAGTCGCATCACTAAATAACCAAAGAGTCCCACTTCTTCCTTATATTCTTTGGCAGCATAGGAAAGTAGAGATTACCCTCTACCCTTTATTGTTGCGAATTTAATAGGCGGGAGAAGAAAATGGTGTGTTTTTTGTTTTGTTTTTCCTAAAATGTAAAATTTTTTTCCCACGTTTACTGGTCATTTGCTTTTCTTCTGTATTTTGAAGTTGTCCAAGTCATTTAGGAGTCTCTAATACACATAATGTCTTGTCTTTCCCATATTTTTTTCAAGTTAAGCAGGAATTCCCAAAATGACTGGAGTTAGAATGTCTTCTTTTCTCCTGGGCAGTCATGCTACTTTAATGTCTTGGTAATAAAACAGAAAACTGGGCCATATTCTGAAAGGAAGAAAGGAGGCAGTGATATTCACATGTGGGTGTAATTACTGAGATGTTTGTTTAAAAAATGGATTTTGATTTTATAGATCAAAGTGAGGACTCAGGAAAAATACACTTGAAATAAACTCCAGATAATTTTCAAGTTCACTAACCAGATATGAGATGTTAGGTACTCTAAACTCTCGGTTCCTCACCTCCCCTTCCTGTATAGTGGGGTCAATAATGCTTATCTCAGAGCACTGTTCTGATAATCACTTATTCCCATATCAGCCCCCAGCCTGGATTATTGTTTATGCAACCTCCATCCCTTATCCTTATCCCACTGCATGAAATCATTGAAATTTTTATGTTTTTGTATCTCCAAACATCATAGGAGCACCATCACAAGTCTTTAAGTATCTTTGCAAACCACACCTTGACATATAGTGGGTGCTAAGTGTTTCTGAAATGAGTTAGTGAGTGAATGAACGATAAACATTTCAGTGCTTAGAGGACTAAAAATACTACCCCAAAATAAGGGATCAGTATGGTGTTCCTTAATGCTACAGAATGAAGGGCAACATTCTCAGTTTTGACTAGAGCAGGAATTCTTCATTTTCTCTATGTCATATATATGTATCATATCTCCCTTTGAGAATCTGATGAAAACTACATAAACTAACCCTCTTTAAAAATTCATACAAATAAAACCACACAATTTTACAATTTCAGAAGCTCCAAGAAAGAACACTGATTTCTAACCTTCAACCATTTTTATTTAAAAATGAAGCTTAAACAGTAAATTCATTACTTGAGAAATTAACTTCAAGCTTGAAAGACTATGGTCAAAGTGGGGTCAGTTGAGACACTTAAAAAAAATAAACTTCTGTAACATTTTGCTGGTAACAGTACAAATATAAGTCACATTTCTCGCAAACCAACATGCACTTTTTATGCAAGCTCCAGTTGTGCCATCTGACTACACTCAGACTTTATTTTTTCCCTTTTCATTCTAATAATAAGGGTTTCCTGTATCCTATTATGATAAAACACTTCATGGGGAAAATGGGATATCATTTATTCATTAAATAACATTTAGCTCCTAGGTACACAGTGTTGAAACCAATAGATTTGTTTCTTAGTAGAGAAGATACAAATTCCAACATTCCTATTAGTCCTAACTGCTGAGAGACACCTTTACAGTGGTGTGCTGGATCCTGTTCACATCAGCTTACAAGAGCTGACTGTGTGTATTAATTCTCAACACATCGGTGGCTTCACATTAGTAGCATGAAATTGGCCATACTGGGTACCACGTAAATCAGCAAACACTACAAATCAACACTCTGCCATGCCCAGTGATTGTCAGTCACTTACCACCATACAATGTCCTCATTATACTAAAATTGTGGCTCTCTCATTCCAGAGCTCCTAGGCAGTAATTCAGATAAGGAGGGCTTAGATCAACCTTTCAAATCCTCTCTCCACCACTGCCAGAAGACCCAAAAGTACAGGTGTATTCTAGGAGACTTCAAGGTAGGAAGTCTCTTTGGATAGTAGGAGAATGCAGTATCTGATCAGTATGAGGCAAGTCTTTACCTATGTGGTTAAGAGTCACAAAGTGCCCAAAGACAAATCCTGCAACACCGAGGGATTTGTATTAATTCTTTCTATAATAGCTTTCCAACATCTAGTATTAATTCCCAGAATATAATTTAAACGGACAGTTTAAATTATATTCTGGGAATTAATACTAGATGTTGGAAAGCTATCCATCTGCAACCATCCCATGCTTATCATTAAGTACTGTTTTAGTGTGATGCAAGTTTAACCTTAAGCAGACATTTTCTGGCACCATTTTGGTACTACTGTCAGAGTTTTGGCTTTAAAGGATTGCCACAAATTTGAATGGATCTGCCAAAGAGAAAATTGCTTTGTCAACAATGTAAGCAATACGCAGAAAAAGCACTCTCAATCTTCTGAAGACTTTGGGATATATTACAGAGCAGGACAATGTGAAGATCTTGGTATACTAGATAATAAAACTCTCTCAAGCCCAGCTTTCAATAGTCTTGCATCACCAGCCAGAAAATATGACTACTCAATTTCACAAGTGGTTGGTATGGCAGCAAATGTCACAAAAACTTTTTGAAAACATCTAAGCTGGCATAAAACACATGAGGACCAAAGGTGAAATGCAAATAAGAAAAGAAGGCAATGGAGGGTGTATGGACACGCCTGCTTGCACATGGCTGACACTTACCTTCAGGCTATGGAGGGTTTCTGACCATTCCATGGACCCTATTTGAGGTATGGTAGTGAGCAGTAAACTTTTGGCTTTATTAGCATTTTCTTTCAGGGTTTTTAAGACCCGGTCCACTGAAACCTAGAGAAATAACAGCGCTGGAGGTTACTTGAAATTAAAATTCCACTGCTTGTCATAAAACATCTTCCTGAGTTCCAGCCTGGCTATGGTCTAAACGTTTGTGTCCCCCTCAAATTCATTCGTGGAAACCTAATCCTCAATGTAGGGTATTTGCAAGTTGGGCACTTGGGAGGCAATTAGGTTAGGAAGGCAGAGTCCTCGTGAATAGGATTAGTGGCCTTACAAAAGAGGCCCCAGTGCCATTCTTTGAGGGGCCCTTCCACCTTGTGAGGTTCTAGTGAGAGGACGGCTGTCTGTGAGAAAGTGGGCTCTCACTGGACACCAAATGTGTCTGTCCCTTTATCTTGGACTTTCCAACATCCAGAAATGTGAAAAATAAACTTCTGTTATTCAGAAGCCACCCATGCTATGGTATTTTGTTACAACAGTCCAGACAGACTAAGAAAAGCCTGACTTGTGAAGTCTGTTTATTCTATGTTTAATCCTCTGAGTTCAAGCTCGGCATTTATCAAGATGGTCTTAGTCCTAGCAGCGAGGTCCTAGAGAAACTCAGTGACATGTCTGAAAAGCACTGATGAATTTGTATGTGGTCTGGATCTGTGTCCTCACCAAATCTCACGTTGAACTGCTGGAGGTGGGGCCTGGTGGGAGGTGCCTGGATCACCAGGTTGAATTTCTCATGAATAGTTTAACAGCATCCTCAGGTGCTGTTCTACTGATACTGATCTGATTGTTTAAAAGTATATAGCACCTCTCCTCACATTCTCTTGCTCCTGCTCCCACCATGTGAGAAGCCTCACTCTCCTTTTGTCTTCCACCATGATTGGAAGTTTCCTGAGGCCTCCCCTGAAGCTGAGCAGATGCCAGCATCACACTTCTTATGCAGCCTGTAGAACCATAAGCCAATTAAACCTCTTTTCTTTATAAATTACCCAGTTTCAGGTATTTCTCCAGAGCAATTCAAACTGTGGGAAACTCAACAGGACAAATGACCTGGCTCCTTCTCAAAAAGCTTGCAACCAACAAAATATTTTAAGGCATTCAACTAGCAATTTAAATTTTGGCTGGGTATATTAAAGAATTATAACCGGAGAATGAAAATGATAATGTGGATAAAATTACTGATGGAAGTAATAATTATATTGGTTATAAGTTAACATAATGGTTGAAGCTAGATGCTGAATTCATGGAAGTTTGTACTATTGGCTACTTTTGTATATGACTAAAATAGCTTCATAAGAAAAAGTTGAAGAAAGTGAATATAAAACTTCCATCAGAGTTAGAGTACTTGACATGCCTTACTATGCTTTGAAGAAATCCAACATTCAGGGCCATAACGATTACACCTTTCTATTTCCTTAAGTATAGGCCAGATCCCGCCCATAAACACCAAGATGTGTTTAGGAAAAAATGATGAACACTGTAGCAGAGGGGAGCTCACACTACTATGGGAACACAAAGCAGTGACAGGCTAGTTATCTGCCAGGTATGTGTAAATGGTATGCTTTAAGCTGAGTATTTGAATGCAGAGACATGAAGCATCCAAGAAGTTTGCCTTGTATTTACTCATTTCCTTATATGTTTTTTCCTGTGACTGATTATTTCTGTATAGGCACTGACATCCCTTCTCTTTGTTCCAGCTGTTGGGCTCCACCCAAAATGTCCTTCCTACTGACCTTCCCATAATAAACCCTCTGTTCAAGGTGCAGCTCAAATGCTACCTCTCAGGACCCCCACTCCATCAGAGCCACCATCTGTTAATCACCCTCCTATGAACCAGCACTATACTCGTTGTTTCACATATATCATTTGGTTTAATTCTTCCAGTAATCCTTCGAGGTCAGAATAATGACTAAATAACTTCCACTTCTCACCCAGAACCCTGGCTTCATTCTACAGAAGAGTAAACAACTGAAATAACTTGCCCAGTGTGACAAGTAAATGGAGCAACTGGAATCTGAAGACAGCGAACTCAAATCCTTCTTGCCATGCCAGGCTGCACATCCACACAAAGCACAATGACACACACGATTGGCTGAAATAATGCCATCTTTATCTGTGCCTTCCTTGTGGTATTTAATGCTATCTTCAAGCCTTACCATTTACAGAGCTTAGTTTCTCTGCTTTTCAACAAAGTAGCTCCAGCTGACTGTTTCCCCAACCTCATTTGGCTACTAAAGGAAATCACTGCTGGTTCTACAAAGGAGGGGACATATGTTATTAGACTAAGCAGAAAGTCACAGGCAGGAAGCAAACCACTCTCAGGGTGTGGCGGGGGCTGGAATTTCCTACTAATTGGAAGCAGCTTCTTGACATCATAATGCTGAGTTGTTCCTTAGGTTACCAAAGCTGCCAAAAAAGATATTATGCTGTGATTTAATGTAAGAATTGGCAAATCTCTTACAGAAAAGGCATCCTAGTACTAAGCAAACAGTTTATTATACTGAGAAGTCATCATAAGGAACTCATGAAAAACAAAGAACCTGTGTTCATCTACGACCCAAAACACCACACACATGGATGGACAGGTGGCAGGAAGATCTAACCCAGTTTTATGTAAAATTAGATAGTAAAACAAACAACTCTCTAAAATGGTGGTAAAGGCCTCTTTGGAGATGTCACTTACCCTAAATGTGCTTAGAAAGGTCACCCCCAATTTTTTTCCTTACTTCAAAAGTGACTGCAGTTTTGTCCTTTTCTTTATCTTAAAATGAGATAAACGACAGGACAAATGATCTAGTTTCTTCAAGTAACACAAGGAATAAAAAGAGAAGCAGGTGAAAATTAGATTGTGATAAAAGGCATATCATTAAAATACAATGTATGGATTGTAAGGGATTCTGATTTGATCAAATTGTTAAAAATTATGAGACTGAAGGAAAAATCAAGTCTAAATATCTGATTATATTAAGAAATTAATATCACTATTTTTGTACAGTGATGGTGTGGTTATGATTTAATTTTTAAAAAGACCACTTAGGAAAATACTAAGTTTAAGATGAGGGCCAGGGAGACAGAAATAGGTAGGGACATACATATGACACAAGGCTGGCTATGGCTAATTGTGGAACCTGGGTGATGGGTACCTGGAATTCATTATACTCCACCCTGTACTTACGTAGATGTTTAAACATTTCCACAAGGAAAGTATTTGTTTTGGAAGCTGACCTCATTTTTCCAGTGTCCTCAAATTCCAGCTGGATCCTGCTGCCTTCACTGCCTGAACCCCTAACTGACCTTCCATTTGAAACCCTTAACACAGTCTATATGGCCTGGCTCTGCCGTATTGCATCCCTGCTTTCTCTCCCTTCTCCCATCTCCTTCCTTTCCACTCTACTCAATCATGCCCTTTTTGCCCATCACACTTAAAACAGGAAGCCTTCTCATACTTCAAATATTTGGTGTGGTCAACTCAATAGGTACCCTTGTACCTCATCATTCTATTTCTTTATAACCATTAGCTTTCTTATATTGGTTTACTTGACTTGTGTCTCCTGTAACAGAACGTTGGCTCCTTAAGGACTTGTCTGTTTGCTGTCACATTTCTATGCTGAACATAGTATTCAGCCATGGTAGGTTAAATAGATGGGTGTGAACATATAGCCCTCTCACCAGGAAAGGGTTCTTGAAAACAAAAACCAGTGGCATAGCAGAAGAAATTGGCAATCAAAATATACCTTTATCCTTAAGATAAGGCCCAAGTCTCAGTATGATTCCCAACACATCTACATGCCTACAATGTACTACTCACTGTTGATCCTTAGGTAAAAGCATCTGTTTCTTTCCTATGATCTTTTTTCTTACCTTCCAATGGAACCTATAGAAAATACTGACAACTTCCAAACCTTGTAGAAAGGCACTTTCAGAAACTAGTGTAAAAGAAATAAACAGTTAAGACACCCTCTTATTGTCACCCAGAAACCCACACCATCTGTGCTCAGAAGAGGATTCTACTTACTGCTTCCTCGTGCTCCTTCCAGCAGTCATAATCTGTCGCCATGGCGATACTTGCATAACAAATTCCAGCCTCTTTAGCAAGAACCACCTCTGGAACTGTAGTCATGTTGATAACATCTGCCCCCCAGGTGCGGAGCATGAAGCTTTCTGCCCTTGAGCTAAAACGAGGTCCCTCAATTGTGACCATTGTCCCCTTTGAGTGGCACCGGAGTCCTAGCTTCTTAGCAGTCTCTATAAGAACCTATGAAAGAAAAACCAGAAACTTCAAAACATACAAGTACATGTACAACTTAAGGCTGCATTTTCCTCCAATGTTTAACAAGCTAATTTCTTAAAGATGATTTGTCACTATAATAAATGCCAGAAGAAAACCTAGAAGACCACAGAAGGGTGTTTCCTGGACCCTTTCTCATTTACATAATCCTCTGTTCCCCCAGCCCTTTGCACATAGAAACTAATAGCTACACAAGCAAGCACTGAGCTCTTTCTACTCACCAGGCATTTGTCTATATGCTTTAATCTCATTTGCTTCTTAACAACTTTAAGAGACTAGGCTGGTTTGAGAATACAGGTATTGATCGACTTAGGACCTATGCAACTTACGACCATTCGACTTTACGACCACAATCGCTAGCCACGACTGCTCCGCGTCTGGCAACGCAAACGTTGCCCAGCTGAGCGTAAGACAGTGCGGACCAGCTTCCGGCAGCACTACCATCTCCGTGTGCACCATTTCAACTGTACATATAGCCTACTCAACTTACGACCAAATCGTGTTACGACTGGTCTGCTGGTCCCAATCGTGGTCGTAAGTCGAGCACTAGCTGTACAGACTTGAGTCTTAGCCTTAGTCTTGCAGGCTAAGCTAAGGTGTCTGTCATCGCTCATCTTTCACAAACAGGCGTGTTGAGTTCTATTTCCAGGCTTCTGATAAGTTAATTCTCATTACTTTTAAAACTACAGAATCTGAAGACTTTTGAAAAAGCTTTTTCTGGTTAGAAAGTGATTTCTCTTTTGCCTATTGCCTTTCCACAGATTTGTGCTAATATTTTTCTGTTCAGGGATAAACATCTTACAATTCCTTTAGTGGCAAGGCTAGGCATGGATTTTTAGAAACATCATTAAAAAGTCTGATCATTTTCTCCAGTGTTTTATTTAATACTGTACCTCTAATCTCCAAGTTGACTTCACTTTTTCTTAGCTTATGCTTCAATGTACCCTTTTGATTTAAAAAATAGTCTTTTCAACTTAACTTACTGAAGCTCTGTTAAAAAATAATCTAATCTCTGTATGCCTTAGTTTTCTCAAGTGTAAACTGAGAATAGTGGTAATGCATAACTCAAACTTATGAGGAATAGTAAATGAACTAAGGTATATATCAGCATAGAAGCATGCCAAGTATGCTGTAAACACTGTATGCACAAATGCTAAGCTGGTCTTCTAACAATTATTAATACTGGCAGCTTCTACACATAGTTGGCTAAGGTTATGGGGACACTATATAAATAAAGTGAAGTGACTCAAAGTAAAAGTCTCCAATCTAGGCAAAGTCGTACCTGCACATGTGTTCATCACATAAACAAATTAACCTATTTCCTTAAAAAATAACTTACACTGTGCCACTGCAATGGGAAACAGAATTTTAACAAGAGCCTTGCAACTCAAAATTTAGCAAGCTATGGACAATGAACAGTTGATGCTACATCACGTTTATCTTACAAATGCTGAAAATAAAATTGTGCTTAACTAACACTTTTTGTGTTAGTATGTTATAAATGTATGTTATAAATGCAAAAGCCTAAATCTCTACCTCCTTTCTCCCCAAAGTTGAGACATACCAAGCCCACTCCTGCTGGTTCAATAATGTCTTTAAAGATCTTGAATAACTGAGCTGTATGCCTTGGCTAAAGTTCAGAGTGCTTCTAGAGATGAATGGCTCTTGACAAATCCTCACCATCACTCTGGTACTTTGGGAGATAGGAACCATGCTTGTGAGGAGGAGGAAAAAATGGAGGCTATGAAAATGTGTTGGCCACGAAAATGTGTTGGCCACTTGAACTAGCATGTTGCACTCCCTAAAGAACAGCTAACATTATCTTAAGGTAGCAAAAAATACGAAATACAGGGTCAAGGTCCAGGTCTGGGGTTAAAATGATTTAATTTTCTTATTTCATTTAAGTGCTGTAAACTACTAGACAGATGTGATATTGGAACTACCACAACCCTCACCAAGGAGCTAGCAATATTAGATCACCAGACTAAATAGATTTAATGTCAGGACTTTCATGAGTTTCAGATTAACTCCTAAAATGATAGAAGTAACACTGCTGTTGGAGCACATGTTTGTACATGGTACAAAACTTAAGTAATAAAACCACTGTCCCTTCCCCCAAGGGAAACCACTATTACTAGGCTTTTTTTCATTTCAATAGTTTTTGGGGAGCAGGTGTTTATTGTGATATGTGTAAGCTCTTTAGTGTGATTTCTGATATTTTGATGCAGTTGTCACCCAGGAAGTATACGCTGCACCCAATGTGTGGTCTTTTATCCCTGACCCTCCTCCCTTACTTCCCCCTGACACCCCAAAGTCCATTATATTGCCTTTGTATATAGTCCATTCTTATGCCTTTGCATCTCCATAGCTTAGCTTCCACGTACAAATGGGAACATTTGGTTTTTCATTCCTGAGCTACTTCACTGAGAATAATGGTCTCCAACTCCATCTAGGTGGCTGCAATGCCATTATTTTTTTCCCTTTTTATGGCTGAGAATATTCCATTATATTAGTTAAGTACCACTGGATCTGTTGGGTCATATGGCCCAAATGGCACAGCAGTTTGCACAGCAGCCTGGAAATACTGCAGAGCCTTCTCCTGTTCTGGACTCCATTGAAAACTGGCAGCCTATTGGGTCACTTGATAGATGGGCTAAAGTAACACACCCAAATGAGAAATGTGTTGCTTTTAAATCCAAATAGGACCAACAGGCATTGTGCCCCTTTCTTGGTTGCAGGAGGGGCCAAATGCAGCAACTTATCCTTCACCTTAGAAGGAATATCTCGACAGGCCCCACACCACTGGACCCCCTAAAAATATTGAAGGTCCCTGAATTTTAGTCAGATTTATTTCCCATCCTCTGGCACACAAATTTCTCACCAATAAGTCCATTGTATTTGCTACTTCTTGCTCACTGGATCCAATTAGCATACTGTCATCAATGTAATGGACCAGTATAATATCTTGCAGAAGCAAAAAGCAATCAAGGTCTCTCTGAATAAGATTATGACACAAAGCTGGAGAGTTGATATAACCTTGAGGTAGGACAGTAAAGGTATATTGCTGGCCCTGCTAGCTGAAGGCAAATTGCTTCTGGTGAGCCTTATGGACACAAATGGAGAAAAAAAGATTTGCCAAGTTAATGGCTGCATACCAGGTATCAGCAGATGTGTTAATTTGCTCAAGCAATGAACCTACATCTGGTACAACAGCTGCAACTGGAGTCACCACCTGGTTAAGTTTATGATAATCCATAGTCATATTCCAAGATCCACTTGTCTTCTGTATGACCCAAATGGGAGAGCTAAATGGGGATGTGGTGGGAATCACCATCCTTGCATATTTCAAGTCCTTGGTAGTAGCACTAATCACTGCAATCCCTCCAGGGATGCAATATTGTTTTTGATTTACTACTTTTCTAGGTAGAGGCAGCTCTAATGACTTCCATTTGGCCTTTCCCACCATAATAGCGCTCACTCTACCAGTCAGGGAGCCAATGTGGGGGTTCTGCCAGCTGCTAAGTATGACTATGCCAGTTATGCATTTTGACATTGGGGAAATGACCACAAGATGAGTCCAGGTACCCACAGGACCTATTGTAAGTCAGACCTGAGTTAAAACTCCACTAATTAATTACCTGACCTCTTTAAGCCCCTACTTTAATTGGAGGACCATAATTAGGTTTTGTGTTCCTTGGAATCAACATCAGCTCAGAGCCAGTGTCCAGCAGTCCCTGAAATGTCTGATTATTTCCCTTTCCCTAATGCATAGTTACTCTGGTAAAAGGCTAGAGGTCTCCTTGGGAAGGATTGGAGAAATACTCACATCATAAACTGTCAGTAATATAGAGGGGTCTTTTCTCAAGGGACCCAGCCCCCACTTCATTCAAGGCATTCTGGATCTGTAAACTGGCTCAAGTCTAGAAATTGTTTGAGGAGCTGTGATTCTCTGTTTTTATAATTCAAATTAGTCTTCTGTCCATTTGACCTAGAAGTTTTCTGCTTGTATAAATTAAGTGGGAATGCAGTAGGCTTCCTATCAATTTTACTTCTAGGAATGCTGTGATTAATTAGCCAGTGTCAGAGCTTTACATGAGTCAGACTATTCTGATTGCCATTTTCCCTCTGCTGCCCATTAGAGTAGCTATGCCCACCTTGTCTTTGATGGTTGGGTGCCGCCACATGGCCCCTGCCACCTTGGAATCCACTTATTCCCACAGCATTTAAATTTTGTAGTTTAGTGACTGTGGTTCCCAAAGTTAGATCTGACATGCAGAGAAAAGCAATTACAGGGCTCTTCAAAGATGCAGATGCTATCCTCACAAATCCATTTTGCAAGGCATTGGCCACGGGTATATCTTCTGGACCCTCCCAGCAGGGGTGAGTAGGTCTAAAGTGACAAAACCATTCCACCATCCCAATTTCTATAAGCCTTTGGATACCTTCCTCTAAATTAAGCCAAGGTAGAACAGACATTTCCAGCTTGTTCACAGTGGGCCATCTTTTAATCCATATTTCAGCTAACCAAGCAAGTAAACTATTTTTTCCAGCTCCCAGAGCTGCAACATTAAGTACAGAGTCTGTACATAGCGGGCCCAAATTAATAAATTCAGCCTGATCCAACTTCATGTTCCTTCCACCATTATCCCACACCCTTAGTATCCATTCCCATGCCTGTTCTCCAGATTTCTGTTTATATAAATTGGAAAACCCAAGTGGTTCTGAGTGTAGCACACCTCCTTATGGGTCACAATCTCAACCTCACCTCTAGGGGCCTATGGGGACTTTAGTTATAGGTCTAGAAGCAAATGGGAGTCTTGTAGGTGGCTCCTGGGTAGAATCAACATTATCTTGCCTGGCAACTGCCTCAAGGGTGGCCATCACTGTTGCCTCAGGCAATGCAGGGTGTATCTCCTCAGACAAAGGTGGAAAGGCTGATAGCATCATAGGTCAGGGAGAGGATGTTG